CCATGATTTTCTATTCCGAAAAAAAATTCAAAAGAAGAAAATTTATAAGTCTGTAGAGACGACAGTAAAAAGTTAGGAGGTGGATAAAATATACAGGTTGGTAAAAGAATATGTCCAGAATTAGGGAGTGAAAGGTAGTTGATTGACCAATGCTGGAAAGTGGAGAAATTCTCCTCAACCGTGCGCAGAAAATCTTGCGCGGTAAATCACACCATATTAGCATTACGGGATCTGTAGTGTTATGGTCAAAGACTATATAAAACCATAACGCTACAGTTGTGCAGCTAGAGGAAGACCACATTGAAGGCTATTTCATTGTATAGGTAAGTTAACTGATCTTTACTATGTGAGAGTATTACATTTAGGGTATGTTAAGTGTTAAGAGACTTGAATCCTTGGTCCAACTGAATCTGCCTTTGTATAGCTATCTTGGAGGGGGGGGGGGGAGTTAGTAAGGAATTTCCATCTGTTCACCTTGTGATTTTTTTTATTTGATGCAGCAATTCTTTGATTTTAGAAATAATTTTATCATTGTATGGGTTTTGTTCCATGTCTTGGATTTGAATTTTACTTGTAAATTGATTTTTGAAAGATAAAACCTCTGAATAGATTTTTTATATGAGAAATCATTTGTTACAGCCTTTTGATTTGATGGAACACAAACTTTTCACATTTTTTTACTTTCAAGTTACACTTTTAATCTATTCAATTTTGTTTTGTATTGAACAGTAGGCATGGCGTATAAAGAGATGGAAGAGATATGACGCGGAAATAGATTAAATCTCACAGCCAAGGGATGAAGTAGATATAGTTGTACCTTGTAAATTAAGGACATTCAAGCACCTCATAACTTCCAGCAAATTCGGAGCATCTGATGAATGCGAAAAAAAACATAGAAATCAGATGGCACGGTGTATTAACAATTTTCATTACACTTTAAAAAAAATGCATTTTCAAGTTTCATTGAATTTTTTTTTTAAAATATTGCAATGCCAATATATTTGCTTATTCTTGCATATGTTTATGTAATAATACATATGTAATATATTTGTCCTTGGATTGATTCTTCATATTTTGGAAGTAGCACATTTTGTTTATTCCAGTGTTCATCACTTTTTACTGAAAGATAAATTTGGAATAAAAAGATTATTACTCTGAAAACAATTTTCCTTTGACATAGTTTCATTGTATGTATTACAGCAAATTGTACCTGATTTTGTACTTGTAGTCAAAAAAGCTTCATAGCTCTCGCTCCGTGATAGGAAGGTCGTGAGTTCGTATCTCGGTCACGACTGACCTAAGTCGATAAAAAATAGGTAGCAACTGTTCCTTCGCCAAGCGCTCGGCACTTTGAAGTGAGAGTTGCGGGTCCTTCGGATGAGACCTTTACGTGTAAAGCCGAGGCCCCGTGTCACGACAGGCGTTGGTACGATAAAAATCCCTCACTGCTCAATAGTGCCGGGTAATAAAGGTCTAAATTTGAAGTCCTTCACCGATATGAAATATGAAGAGAACGAGAAAGAGTTCTCCATAGCGCTACACAAAATTTTAGGTATGCTCGCTGCGCCGCCTTGACGTCAAAATCCATTTTGCCGTCGTTATAAGATTTCTATACCGCGCTTAAGTTCATCTATGATTTCCGTATTTCTGATCGAAATTCTAACAAACTTACACAAAATGAAGTCAAAATTAAATTGAAAAATTATATACATAAATTGAATTATTTTCACTCTAACTATATATGGGTCCATCGGGAGTTTGAACGTTGGTGTTACATATTTTTAATATCTGATTTTGTGACTGTGCCGGGTACCCCTATCATTGACACGTTAATATTCCACTGAAAGAAGAAATAAAATATTTGTAGTAATAGATGTTTCATTTAATTTCACAACATAGTCATTATCCAGTTTTACACATTTTCTCATTTTACTTGTTGATGTCTTGTATTTCAAATAATTCACTGCACGTTGCGTGCAGTGCTTTTATTTCAATATTTATGTTAAGTGGTGCTTTTTGAAAAGTTAATTATAAGTTTTTCATTGATTGCAGCTGGCAAAACATTTTTAAAATGAATGTTTGTCATTTATTTTACTTAGTCTTTTTATATTAGTAAATCACAATATATTAATAGTATTAAGTGCATCAAACTAGATATATGGAGTTATAATCTTATATACAACGATATCAAGTACATTAAATTGATAACCATAGTAAATGAGTTTTTATAGTGATCAATAAAGTATTTCAAAGTTTCATAGTAATCACTATTGTGTCATAGTGATCATCACTATAGTAAATTAAAGTTATCAAAGTTATTACTATAGTAAATCAAAGTCTCAAAGTTATCACTATAGTTAATTATAATAAACTAATAATAGTTAGCTATAGTTTACTATATTATTTTTTGTAGGGATCCTGCCCCACTCGCGAAATAAATTCCATATCCAACTAAAAACATTGAATATCGTTTATCTATCTTTAATCTTTAAAGGGGGTGGTTTATTAAGGAAAATTTCTTGTATATCCTCTAATACGTGATTAAAAGGAAAGCGGTAGTATTTTCACGTTTATTGTTTTTATTTAGAAGTGTTTTGAGTATTTACGTTCGATTTCTGTAATATATAATATAATATAATTGAAAAAAACTAAAGACTATTGCAGTGCGTGATTAGTTTTTTTTTAATATTTAAACTTGTCCTCGATCGTGACAAGCTGTGGAACATTTAAAGATTTGCTTTGTTCACTTGACAAAGCCTCGATTGATATACATGATTCTCAATAACAGATAATTTTACCTATTTGTATAATAATCCATTTAATAAAGATAATCAGTTATATTAATCCCTTAGCAGATTATTCATTCATATAAACTAATTACGATGGTAATTTTTCGACGTCCTAAGCAGCATCACCTCTGCCCTTTTCTAAATGTCTTATTACTTTATAGGACGCAACGGCGCCAAAATTAGCACATTTTTACACCTTAGATTAATTTGTCTTGACTTCAGTTTCCACTTTCGTAAGCGAAAATGCACATTAATCAGGAACTTGTAGTTCAAATTTTGATTTCTATATAATAAATAGAAAGTCGTTTGTATACAATAATAAACATGCAGTAGTAAATGCTTAAACATTCTTACTTGTAAGAGAGTCAATGGTCAACAGTAAACACGAACCAAAGGAAATTATCGAAGTTAGACAGCAACAAGATTTGTCGTTTTTATAAACACATATCAAAGTTAATTTACATCTAAAGTTTGAGAACCGTTGCAATTATGCCTAAAATTATTTTATTATTTTTGGTAGCTCAAATCGTTAGCCTCCATCTGCATATTCTTCGATAGAGGGGTATTACTTAATTGCCTCCAACCCTCAATGCTAAAGATGTAGTAAGAAGTTATTGTCATTTTGTACCACTAAGATAACAAGAAAATCACGTGAATAACAAATGCAGAATTTCTCATTGGCAGAATTAAACTTGTTTACTTAATGAATTAGTGTTCAATTCTTAGCTATGGTGTTGAAACTTTTTCTGAAAGGAGGTCATCAATGACACTTCAGATGAAAACATTTTTTTTCTTCATTTGAAGTAAAGAAAATAATACCACTACTTGTTTCACCATTCTAGGAAAGCTCCACATTTAGGCTCTCAATATTTCTCGATCTCTAATACCCTAATCTATTTGTCTAGAGGAAAACACACTTATCTCTGAGGGAAAGTTCCGTAAGCAGCTGTTGTGCGAGGTTTTTGAATTTGGTGCAATTTGTATAAAAAAATCTGTCTTACTATGCAATATTCTTATACAGAATAAGGCGACTTCTTTGTTTACCCTTTAAGTAGTGTCAGAATCTCCTGTTGCATAAGGTAATTAATGGTCTATGCTTGAGAAGCTCACTTTCATTTTAAACAGCTGGTACAATGACCTTACTTCACAACATGTAAATATCATCTGTTTTAAATATAATAAAAGCCAAATTAATCCAGCCATACCCTCTGCATAGGTATACGAGTATATGAGGTATATGAAGAGGTCTAAAAGGTTTTATCTTTAATCAATCCCTCTATATAAAACAAGTAAATGCATGATTGAACAACATTTCAGATTACATAATGATGTGCCCTATAAACAAATCCGATCTTTGTTTCGCAAGTCCTGCAAAACCCCAATCTCTCTATTTGTAGGGATAAAAACTTTTTATCTGAGGATGGTTCGATAAAGACCCGTTCTGTCAGAGCATAAAGAGCATTATAATTTTAATTTTTTAAAATTTCAATTAATGTTCTGTTGCTTTTTGATTCTTTAAGTATTTGAGTATCTTTCATCTCATTTATAAATTACTGTACTTTTTGGACCTTTTTTAAAAATCATTTTTCGATTTATGCCCTAACCCTCGATTAAGTATAAGAGGAGGCATGCCATATTAGATAATCTACCGGTAAGCATTCATTTGTTATCACGTTTGCAGTAATACATCAGTGTTAAATGAACAGTGTCAATGTGTGTATAACTGAGGTATGCATTATTTTCTTATTCAATAATGTTCCAGACAATTAAACAATTACAATGTAATTAAAAACTACAGAAGATAAACAATTAAGTTGAGACCTTGTGTATCTGCCAAAAAATCAGAAAAATTATTTAAATTCCAAAATCAGACCCCTTTTCAGGCTATAAAAGGCAATGGAAATTTCCACAGTCAAATATTATACAACAAATCAAGATGGCGTCAAGAAGGCGAAAACATATTCCCATGTAAGTAAATAAAACTTCTAGCAAATAAAACTAAACTTAATTAATCAAAATTATTTCACCTTTTAATTTTATTTCAATTTTATTTGAAGGATTAAATTATCATGTAAAAAAAGGACGAAAATACAACATAAATCAGAATGTGTGTTTGTGTCTCTGTGTCGAAAAGCGGAGACTTCATCTTTCGCTGTTGCTTTAAGGAGAGATTTGCATGATATTTATGAGAGGCTTATTAATCACGACAAAATGAACCTGAATTGTGTTTTCATAATAAATGGAAGCCATAAAGAAGGTTTCAGAATTGAGGAATCGGACGTTGACTGGATGATTTGGTCAAAACACCACAGAGTATTCTGGACCTTATCTCAAGCTCAGGATAACAATTCATCCAAACAAACACAGATGCTGGCTGACTGTTCTGAGAGTCCTCCTGGATTCGCTTTACTTCAATTAATAAAAACAAAATCTTGTGAAAGTATCCTTGAAACTATAGTAAAAATGAATGACAAATTCTATATATCTAGTTCTCTCCACAAAAAGAAGCAATGTTCAGAATATGGACATGCTTTTAAAATACACGGACCTTGTGTCAGTGGAGAAATTGACCACGTAGAATACGACAGTGCTTATTGTTTTGCTTGCAACTTTTGGCCTCCATCTGCATCTTCATGGACAGAGAGGTGCCATTTTTGGCCGCCTTCTCAAACTGTAAATGATATAGTTAAAACAGGTTGTCACTTTGTAGCAATAGGAAGCAAACAAGGGAATCATGAAGACATCGAATGGAGAATTTCTTTCTCTTTGGCGGAACACAAACTTGTGTTTTCTATGAATCACTTTCAGTTCTTAACTTATAATTTGTTAAAGCTTTTTCTTAGAGAGGTCATTAATAAGACAATAGAGGAAAACAAATTATTGTCGTCCTATCATATAAAAACGGCAGTGTTTTGGGCAATTCAAAACAACGTCTTTCCTCGTTTGCGTCCAAAAAATTTCCTGAAGTGTTTTTGGATGTGTTTTAAAGTTATCCTAAAGTGGGTGTATGAAGGTTACTGTCCTAACTTCTTCATTCCAGAAAATAACATGTTTCATACCAAGATTTTTGGTGCAACCCAGAACAAGCTTTTTGTAAAACTTTATTCATTGTATGAGAAGGGTGTATTATTATGTATATTAGAAAGTCCAAGCATTAAGTCATATACTTTGTTCTTTCCCTATATCCACAACTTCTCAAGTGGTACGAAAGAGAATGCTCTAATATCCCGGGCTGAGCTCGAAAGGGAGGTTTTTACTAAGATCCTTGCATATAATGCAGTTCTTATTCCTAATCTGACCTTCTGTTTGAGGGTTTTAGACTCGATAGAACAACTCATTGGTGAACCCTTGAAAGAGATTCAAGTTGTCCAGTTACAAAGAGCAACAGTTTCTGTTCTTCAGAACACCCCTTTTATATTACACAGCTGGTTCAATAGCAGTGATTACTTTTTACTTAACTTAAGTTGTAATACAGAGAGAAAAAACAACAGACAGATGTACGTTATTGACAAAATATCCATGAACATGTTGAAATTTACAGACAAATTCGGATGTATTACCGACATGTTGTATATTGTAATGTATTTTTATAAGACGTGTAGAAATACAGAAGCTTCAACTTGTTTAAAGATGATTGATGTCAAAATAGAAAAATTACATTCTAGGCGGAATTCTAATGTAGACACAAATTCTGCAGAAGAGCATTCCTGGAGTATGAATTTTAGAAAATTGTTACCCATGTCCTTCAGACTTTCCAATAAAATCTCATATATAATGGAATTAATGATTGAACAACATTGTAGTTTACAAAACAACAAGCCATATTTATACATCTCATCCTTTGTCCTCTTTCTCATGTTAAAGTTCTTAAATAACAAACATGTGGACATAAGGAGATCACAAGAAGCTTTAGACTACCTACAGATTATAACCGACCAAGGACAGGAATTCTTCATTGAAAAACATACAAGAGACATCTCATGGCAGATTCTTGGTATCTGTCAACAAATCTCAGGAAACCCCCAAGCCGCTTTGTATGCATATAAACAAGCTCTCAAAGTAGATCCATGTAATGATATTCAAATTGCCACACAGAAAAGGATACTGAATGTAGAAGCATGTATTCGATCAGGTTTTTACAAAAAAAACTGAGACTTTGGAATATATTACATTTTGCATAGAAGATTCAGTTTTCCTCATTAACCCTGTGATATCTTTACCTGTACATGTACCATGATAAGCACTTGCTGGACTTATTGTGTCATTAATTCTACTGCACAGGAAAATCGTTGGTAGATTTAAGAGCATCTAATGATGTCTGTTTGGTGATTTTGTAAAATTATTTTGCAGACAATTGCATGTAAATGATTGTTTAAATGAACCATGAATCGTTCTTTGTAATCCAATAAATTCTGAAACAGAAACACCATTCTGATTTCAATTTACTTACACCATGTGATTAGTCGTATATAATCCTAGAACATACAGAACTTAGGTGCCATCAATTTTATATTAAATATGATACATGTAATAATAAATGTGGAAAAAAAAATTCCTGGACAGAAGGATTCATGGCCTTGCAGTATGATTATCGAAAATTCTTTCATTATTGTACGCTCTACTCAAATAGACAGACTATTAATTTGTTACATGTAGTAATAATATGTTCATCATGTTCATCAGAACACTATATATATACATACATACATACATACATATATATATATATATATATATATATATATATATATATATATATATATATATATATATATATATATATATATATATATATATATATATATATATATATATATATATATATATAATTTCAATTTTAAAGCAAAAGAAAAAAAAGAAATGAAAAAAGAAAAATGAAGAAACCCATGAAACATGCCTGAAGAATAAGATACATTAAATAATTCAGAAGAGATGTCACAAGTTCAATGTAAATTATAAACGGTACCAATTTTGATGCACCAGATGCGTATTTCGACAAATTATGTCTCTTCAGTGATGCTCAAGTTGGACTTCTAAAATATTTAAATAAAACAGACTTGGAAGAGCTGAAAAAAGGTGCCAAAGACTGGAGCCAAATACGTCAAAGGATCAAAGTTATGCATTAGGGACATAATCCTTAATTTTGAAAAAAAAATTAAATTTTACCACAGCAATTAAAAATATTTCCGTATTTTCAAGCTAGTACCGAAGTACTAGGTTACTGGGCTGTAGAGACCCTCGGGGACTAACAGTCCACCAGCAGAGCTGCATTATCACCAAAATCAAAACTAAGCCTGAACTATCGCTTAATTAACATTGTTTATTTATTAAATAATTTGACTTGATAATTTGAAATATAGGTAACTTCAAAGGATAGATAGATAGATTGATTGATTGATTGATTATCTGTTGTTTCACGTCCCGTTCGAGAATTTTCACTCATATAGAGATGTCACCATATACCGGTGAAGGGCTTCAAATTTAGACCTTTACTCGGCATTCAGGGCCATTGAGCGTTGAGGGTTCCTTATCGTGCCAAAGCCTACTGTGACACGGATATTCGGGTTTTAAGGTCTTATCCGAAAGACCAGCAATTTTCACTTCAAAGTGCCGAGCGCTTGGCGATGAAGTTGCTACCTATTTGTATTTTTATTTCACTTAGGTCAGTCGCGGCCGTGATTCGAACACACGACCTTCCGATCACGGAGCGAGCGCTCTACCGACTGAGCTACCGTGACGGTGCAAAGATCAGTTCACAGTACTCAAAGATCATTCAATTAAAATTTATCATTAAAGAAACACGGGACCGGCTGGTAGCGACCTGGCTCCGGGGCCATAAAACTTAGACGAGCTCATTTTTGATCTCGGTCTCACTTTTACCAAAGGAATCAATAGTGGAAAAGTAAGACTGAGTTCATAAGTGAGCTCGTCTAAGTTTTATGGTCCTGGGACATGGTGTTCAAACAGTACTTAACATCTCGAAAGCTGACTAATTACCCCCACGATGTCAATTAGGAGTGCCTTAATTATATCCGAATCAGCCTAAGAAATACATATGTGAAAATGCTAACATTTCATATATTTTCATTTATATTTTTTGATTGAATTTTGAGGATGTTGTGTTCAAATTTACACATGTATGATTTTTTCCGAATAATCGGTTACAGATTTTCTAACCAATAACCATCGTTCCGACCGAGTAACCGGTTAACCGATTACAAATTGATTGAAATCGTAGAAAAAGAGATGGGAGATGCATTTGCACATGAAATGCTGGATAAAGTGGGTGTTTAATCTGTACAGGATCGTAAAGAGAGATATTTCCGTCTATTTGTTTTTATCTCTTGAGTCCTAGAAGCCTTTTTTTCTGGGCCATGTATGAACAATCTAATTTTTCCTATAAAAATAATTGAAAACCAGGCACTTGTACTTATCATTTCTGAATTTGGTATAACTGTATAACTTAATTTATCAGATTCTTATATTGATATAATTAAACTGTAATTTCCATAGACCATCTAATATATTTACCCATAAATCAAGTAGATTTATTTAGTTTCCCACTCATCCATTTACGGGTTTCCCATTCTACTAGGTAACAGGCCTCCCGTAGGGGTTTTTAAAGCGATTGTAATATAATTTAATGTTATACAATAACCTACCTCTAGATGGGAAAACTTCCTCAGCTAGTTAGTGTACCTAGTAATCTCTCATCCCCACTAGTTCTCTGATCAGCAGAATCATTTATGGAATATGAGCGTACCAAACACCCCGGATGTTTTTCATATATTTTCATATAACTGTATCTCATTCCATTCTCAATGATCGTGTACTGAGGACAGTGCAACGAGAACTCCATCGGCATCGAAAGCAAGTTTTTTGACTTGCCTAGATGGCCGAACGGTCTGGCGCGCTGTACCTGTACTGCTAGGAGACAGATTCCGTAGGTCGAGAGTTCAACCCCATATAAGGGGACCTTGTGTATGAATATGAAGACCAGAGGACATCCTATATTGTTTATCATTTGCAGACCACTGGTCACATAATGGTGTGTATAATATGAATACGGAGACCAGAGGTCCCCATATAGTGTACTTCATTAGGGTGACCAGAGGTCTTATATTATACATTATTAGGAAGACCAAAGGTCCCCTTATATCCTACATGTACATCAATAGGGAGACCAGAGGTCCCCTTATATCCTACATCTATAAGGAGACCAGAAGTTCCCTTATATCCTACATCAGAAGGGAGACCAGAAGACACCTTATATTGTACATCAATAGGGAAACCAGAGATCTCTTATATTGTATATCATTAGGGAGACCAAAGGACCCCTTATATCCTACATCATTAGGGAGATCAGAGGACACCTTATATTTTACATCAATAGGGAAACCAGATTACACCTTATATTTTACATCAATAGGGAGATCAGAGACCACCTTCTATTGTACATTAGTAGGGAGATCAGAAGTCACATTATATTGTATATGAGTAGAGTATAATATGTGTATAGTACGAGGGTTGTTCGGAAAGTTCGTGGACTACCTTCATAGCTTTTTTTACTTAACGTCATATTATATCCAAATTTGGAAGAAATATTTCAACAGTAAATTCAAATGATGTGTATGAAAATTTTTAAAATATCGTGGTTTATTTCAAACTTATTTAGACTTAAAAAATACGAAAATCGGACCACGGAGCAAGTCAAACTTTAGTAATTTACAATCAAGACACTAAGTAATGTCTGAAGTCATATCTTCTGTAAAATGACACAAAAACGGAAAAATTCTACGCTTTCATATTAAGAATTGTTTCATCGTTTCTGATTCCAAATTATGACTTAATATTTTGTTTCGTTGAAAAGAAATCAGTTTCAGAAGATAGGTAGTCCTCATCGAAATAGGGAAAAAAGGAAGACGTCGTTGAACGTCACAGAGCAGCAGTTAACCATACAATTTTGTGTTGTACTCAAGAAAACCCCAGAAAAAACTCTGAAAATTCCAGAGGAAGTAGGAAATTCGTCAAAAGCGAGTCATGCATGTGTATATAAATGGTACAAGCGGTATTTATATGATAGACTTCTCTGCTTAGACGATGGTGATCTGTGAGAAAACGGATTATCTGTAAGAATCTTATCAAAAACATTGAATTGCTAGTAAAGTCATGCTAAGAGTTTGGCGCTTTACAGATGCTGATCTTGTGAAAGCACACTTATGCAGTGAAAAAAAATAAAATTGACAAACAAAATGATGCTACTGAAGCAATTGTTAGCAAAATAGATTTCAAGTGATAGAGAAACGTTTTTAATGAGTGCACTGGTATTGGGCAATACCGTGTGAAATGTACAGGGATAGTATTTTTGAGAACCTCGGTATGTTTTTGACGTTACAGTGTTGTCGAGTTTGCTCCGTGGTTACAAAACGCGTTGAATTTAAAATCAAATTACAGGAATTCTATTAAAACACATGGGATGAAACTTCACACTTAAACAAAATAAATATTTTTACATATGAAAATGTGCTCATTTTAAATTTCTTCAAGGTAGTATAACGAAAATTGGCATAGTCCACGAACTTTCCGAACAACCCTCGTATGAATACGGAAACCAGAGGTCCCCATAAGGTGTACGTCATTTGGGTGACCAGAGGTCGCCTTATATTGTACATCAATAGGGAGACCAGAGAACACCTTATATTGTACGTTATTAGGAAGACCAAAGGTCCCCTTATATCCTACATCTATAGTGAGACCAGAAGACACCTAATATTGTATATCAATGGGGAAACCAAATGTCACCTGATGTTGTACATCAATAGGGAGACCAAAAATTCTCATATATCCTACAACAGTAGGGAGACCAGAAGCGGCTTATATTGTACATCAATAGGAAACCAGAGGTCACCTAATATTTTACATTAGTAGGGAGACCAGAGGTCACATTATGTTGTAGATGAGTACAGTATAATATATGTATAATATGAATACGGAGACCAGAAGTCCCCATATGGTGCACTTCACTAGGGTGACCAGAGGTCCCCTTATATTGTACATGAATAGGGACACCAGAGGTCACCTTATATTGTACATCAGTAGGAAAACCAGAGGTCCCTTTATATCCTACATCAATAGAGAGACCAGAAGACACC